AGAATAATTTTAAGGAGGAAAAGTTTATGTTGGAGCTCACAGTTTTATGTTGGAGGTCTCAGGCCACCGACAGCTTGCTCCATTCCTTAGGGCTCAAGGTGAGGCAGGATTTCAAGGCAGAAGAGTATAGTGAAGGGAAGTGGCTCACATGATGATCAGGAAGCAGAGAGAGCCTAGGCTCAGCTCACCAAATATATACTCCAAAGGCACGCACCCCAGTGACCCACCTCCTCCAGCTGCAACCTAAAAGCATGCAGTTACCACTCAGTTAATCCCTGCTAGGGGATTAAATCACTGATTGGGTAAAAGCTCTCATAACTCAATCATTTCACCTCTAGACCTTCTTGCATGGTCTCACACATGAGCTTTTGGGGGACTCCTAATATTTAAACTATAACAACAACTTTATACAAAGATGGTTAAAAACTTTAAGATCCCCCTTAAATCTTAAGAGAAATGTTATAAGAATTAGAAAAACAAAGCTACAGGTGCCAAAGCTCAACAATGACTTGGTAGTTTGGGGTTTTTTTTGTGTGTGTGTGGTGCCAGGGATAGAAGCCAGGATCTCATGCATGCCAGGCAAGTTCCTCTACAACTGAGGAACACTCGCAGTCCCTTAGTGGTGTTTATTATGCAAAATAGTTGTCTGATGCTAATAATTTATTTTGTAAGATCTCAACAGGTTTGAGAAACAGTTCATATGCAGCAAAATTGTTAATGTTGATATTATGCATAAGAGTGGATAAGTCATTTCTTTGACACCATTATTGAAATCTCTTGTGTATCCATTTGCTCAGACTCATTATATCCAATGTTAAATAACTATACTTTGTTCATGCATGTGTATTGAAAGTTTTTTGAAATACTTAATAAGTTGTTCGATTGAAGATAAACACAAACAAATTGTCCTAAATTCTCCTGTGGTTTTCATTTTTGCTTTTTTAAGCCAAAAATGAATCACCTTTTGTGATTCATTTTTGGCTTAAAAAAACATGATTATATAATTTTTACTCTTAGCATAAATTTGCTAGAAATAAATAAGCTTAAGTTGTTGTGATGTTTTATTTCTTGTTACGATTTCTGCCTAAATTGGTCTTGAGATCTCTCTGCCGAGAGTAGCCATGAGCCACAACAGCCACTATTTAGAAGAGACCTGACCTGGGGAGCAAGATGTAGGGAGGAAGTTAGACATGGGTGTGTCAGTTAAATGAGACACTAATGAAGAGGTGAAACAAATACATGAAACAGAAGAAATGTATTACATATACCAGAGAGTTTAGGGATGGTAATGGAGGGTGCCTGATGAGAAGTCTGGAGGAGCTCAACCAACATATAGGAGCAAATAAGAGAGGACCTATCTGTGCCTTAATTAAGGTTCATGGGCCTTATCCCTTAGATATTCCTGCAGGGGTTGTGAATTGTCTGGTTTAAAGAAAACACATGTGAAGGGGGGAGGAGTTTACTTATAATGTTCTGGTGTTGACCATTAAGTTTTATCATGGTTAGCAGCTGTGTGTTAGGTTTGGGACCAGTGAGATGAGGAACAAGTGGGCTGTATCTCAACCACATGGGGAGGGGATGATTTAACTAGGTCATAAGGGACTGGAATTCAAACAACTTATGACAGACTTGAAAATGGATGATAATAAGTACATTGTTAAAAACTCTTCGGTAGCAATGTTAAGTTAATTTATGACAAAAGTTTAGCCTTAGTATTAACAGAATTATTAAGGATAGAAATTTTATTGCAAATTGGACACATGATGTGTTTTAGCAGAAACAGAGAGCCATGATCATGTATAAGTACATGGTTTTAAATATGTAAAAGTACACATAGAAATTGATATAAATTTGTGTAGATGCAAATATTCATGTACCTGTTTCTAACTCTGTCCACTTAGAGGGCCTAGAATCAATGACATACCAGTAGTAATGACCATAACCAGCATTAGGATCTTAGTTTTCAAATATTATTCTTCACTAAAGAAACTACAGATTCTCCAAGAAATGGCTGATTTGAATGCTGGAGCAAAGAAGATACAAAAAGAGCCTAAAACACATTCTTGTACCCAAAAGTAAGGAATTGCACAAGGAATTATGACAGCAGTTTCAAAGGACAAATGAGCCTACCTGAAGACATGCATACTGGCCAAATCAGGAATAATTAAAGAATAAAAATGGATAATAGCAATAAGGGATTATAACCCACTAAATAAAATAAAAATCCATAAGTCCATACTGCTAAATAGTCAGATATATAAATTGGAAAGTGAAAAACTTCTTCCTTAGAGTAGGAAGCCACCTAAAACAATTGTAGAAGGAGCCGAAGGTAGTGGCTTGCTTCTGTAGTCCCAGCACTTGGAAGGCTGGGGTGGAGGATCTCTCAATAACAGGGCTTGAGACCAGCCCAGGAAACACACTGAGACCCATCTCAATAATGACAACAAAACATTTGGGCTGGGGATGTGGCTCAGTGCTAGAATTCTTGCCAAATATGGGTTTGATTCTCTGCACTGGGAAAAAAAATTCACCATTTGGCAAGAATCATCAATAGACACCAACCTAATAAGTAAAAAGATTTTGGGTAATATACATCCATAATCTCAGATATCTCCCCATTAAGTGTTTATTAGTTTCAAACATAAAAATAATGGTAATAAATAGAGAAGAAACTTGGAAGTCACCACCTTAAGCCAAGTGATAGAGGTTAACAAGAATAGTAATGGAACAAATCAACATCCTGTGTCTGCTATGAGATACAGGAGAAGAAAATAACATGTCTGATGATCCTGCCCAAAATACATACTTTAATCTGATGATAAGAACATCAGACAAATCTAAATTGAAAGAATTTCTACATAATAACTGGCCTCTACTGTTTAACAGTGTCAATATTATGAACATTTAAAAAATTCTAAAGAGCTATTCCAGATTAAAGGAGACTAAAGAGGTGACTATTGAATGCAGTGTCTAATATGGGAGTTTCTTTTGATATAAAGAACATACTGAGCTGGGCACGGTGGCATACGCCTGTAGTCCCATAGGCTCAGGAGGCTGAGGTAGGAGGATTGTGAGTTCAAAGCCAGCCTCAGCAAAAGCAAGGTACTAAGCAACTCAGTGAGACCCTGTCTCTAAATAAAATACGAAATAGGGCTGGGGATGTGGCTCAGTGGTTGAGTGCCGCTGAGTTCAATCCCCAGTACCCACGCCCCCCACCAAAAAAAAAAAAGAACATTGAGATCTGTATAAGGTCTGTAGGTTAGATAACAGTATTGTAGCAATATTGATTTTTTATATAATTGCACTATGGAAAAGAATGAACTTATTTTTAGAAGACACAATGGTGTATTTAGTTATAAAAGGGCATCTTCAAAGGGAGGGAAAATTGACAACGAAAGAAGAAAAAAAAAGGATAAAGTAAATGCAATAAGATGTTAACATTGGGGATTTGAATGAAGTACCGTAGGAATTCTTTGTACTATCTTGCAATTTCTGTATGGCTGAAATTATGTCAGAATAAGAGAATAAAAACTATAGAAAAAGTAAACAATTTAGTAATTTAGATCCTACACACACACACACACACCACTATCATTTTTTAAATTACTTTTTCATTGCATTTTATTCCCCTTTGGCTTTTGCTTCCTGGTTTTGAATAAACTGCATTACTGCTTTAAGAATTCTTAAGCTTATTTTTACTGTGCTTGTAAATCTCTTGTCCTGTTGTTAAGGTTTAGATCTGAATTATGTTTATTAATTATGTTTATGAATTATGTTTATTAATTTGGTCTCCAATGCAGCAGCATCCCCAAAAGGTTCATGTTTTGAAGATTTGGTCCCCAATGCAGCAGTATTCAGAGGTAGGACTTTTAGGAAGTGACTGTATCATCAAGGTGCTAACTCTATCAATGTATTAATCCATTGATGATTTCATAGCTGAATTGACTATTAGAATGTGGGCTTGAAAAGAAGTAGGTCACACTGAGGGCATGCCTTTGAAGGGTAATTTTGTCCCTGAACCCTTTCTCTTTGTCTGCTTTCTGGCTACCATTAGGTGAGCAGCTCTATTCCACTATCCCTCCCCACTATGATACTATGCCTCTTTACAGGCCCGTAGCCAACCATGAACTGAAACCCATGAAACTGAGCCAAAATAAATCTTTATTCCTTTAGGTTGTGCATGTCAGGCATTTTGTCACAGTGACAGAAAGCTAATGCAAAATACTTAAAGTTAATAGTCAGGAATTCAGATGTCCTCTAAACAACTTCTTCTTTTTCTTTCTTTTTTTTTTTTTTTAATCATAGCTCACAGGCATGACGAAATAACAGTTCTCTATGTGTTCAGTTAATTTTTTTAAATCCAACTCTTCTCATACATGGGTATTTCCTTTCGCTTTATAAAAATCAGAAAATAAGAATATGTAATTGGTCATACCCGCCTTTTTGCTTCTTTGCAGATAGGAAGCAGATGTCAGTGTTCTACTTCAGTAACTACATTTAATCAGGTTAATAATTTTCTATTATTTTATGACAAGATCTTTTATCTTCATTGCATGAAAGTAAATTTTATATATAATTAAATATTTTTATTTCATGTATCAATCTATAAAATGTACTTAACCAACTACATATATGAAAAATACTTTTTGTGCTTTAAAAATATCAAATCCTATACTACTGCACTAGTCCAGAACTATATGACAAGCTCTTCAGATGAAAAATCAGGACCCATTTTGTTTTAGAGAACTTCAAACTGTATACATTGTCTATAGGATATATGTAATAAAGAATTTTGATGAGGGGCTGAGAGAATAGCTCAGTGTTTGAGCACTTGAATAGTGTGCTGAAGACCCTAGGTTTAATCTCCAGGATACACACACACACACACACACACACACAACAAAACAAAAAACCTTTTTTTTTTTTTTACTTCATCTGAATTTTTAAGTAGATGATGATTCAGATTGTATTATAGTAATAATTATGCAAAGAGAATATACCTCATTCAGACAAATGAAAGCTGGAGTTTCAGACAAATCCACGAACCGCTCATCTTGAATGTTAATTGTGGGCACTATGGCATAGGTGAGGTCTTTTTGAACTTTTTCATCCTCCTCTTCCTCTTCCTCTTCCTCTTCTTTTTCTGTGTCTGTGGAACTATCTCCCATTTTCTCAACTCTGAAATAGAATCATTCCATATTCAGTTATTTATAAGTTTCTTTACTTATTAAGTAAAATTAATGAAAAATAGTAAAATTAGCTAAACTCAAGTGGAACAAGCTTTTTTAAAACTACATTTTAATTATATGAAGTAATGGAATAAGCTGGTCTTTAATGAAACTGCAAATCAGAAAAGCTAGCTATAATCTTGTTACTATAAAAGGCTGCTCTGTTACAAAGATTCTTTTTCTTTTTCCTACAGTGCTAGAGATTGAACTCAGGGCTTTGAACATGCTAATATTCTACCACTGAGCTGTGCTCCCAACCTCAGATACGTTCTATTATTATAGTAAAATCCATAATTCTAATTTTTAAAAATCAGCTATTGTCACATTGATTGAAAAATAAAATATATAACTAGAACATAAGCTCCATGAGGGAAGAAACTAGGTTTCTGAGTTTACTGAACACTCAGTTACTATTATTAAATGAATAAATAGATATAACCTTTACCCTTAAAACAGAATACAAAATTAATTCCAATTATTTTGAAAAAATATAAACCAATAGACAGGCTGAGATGTGGGAATGAGAACGTTGAGGCTAGGCAGAAACAGGCTCTTGAGCCACGTCTAGGGAAGGAAGGAAGAGAGCCAATCCCATTCAGCAATATTTGTACTGGTGGCAGGGCTGGTGGGTATCTGATGTCAGGCAGTAGACTCTCTGCTCCACATTTACGCATACAAACAAAAGAATTCCAATAAGAATGCAAGTCCATTCCAGCCTAGACATTCTTGAAACATGTTGGCAGGGACCTTTCCAGCTATCCCATTGGGTTAATTACATTTTACTTTCTGATACCACTATAATCACATGTGCATACTTTTGTGACCACCCTTAAAGTACTGTATTATAATTTACTATTTTTCATTTGTCTTTCTAAATGAATTATTTACAACAGAAATTATATTTATTTTTCCATGGAGCTTCAACACCTGGCAAATAACTCACAGGAATGTGTGCAAAAAACACATTGATGGGACAAACAAGGTTGGCTACTCTTCCGATGACCAAATAATATTGCCAACTGCAAAAAATTTCCTTGATTTTTCAGAAATAAAATGCTAAACCAATGAAGTAACAATGATTGCTTCAATTTATTAGAAAGTTAGTCCACAAGTAAAGTTTCAGAGGAGAAAAACTGAAGTTCTTGTGTGATTGCTGTGCACAATTGCTATTGACAGCTTTGAAAATTTTCCTTCCCCAAATAATATTGGCAGGCTACTTACATAATTTGCAGGGCCCAGGGCAAAAAAGGAAATATGGGGCTCCCTGATAAAAAACAAGGGAAATGTAATATGAAAATTACCAAAATGTAAAATTTTCCTTTAAAAATATTACCCATGAAATGTAATAGGGGTGCTAGTGAGACACAACAACCCAAACTTACAAATCAGCAGAAAACACTTTTGGTGTCATAATTTTCTATAATAAAATGAATAATAATGATATTTTGATTAATCATAAGATTTTTCTGGCTCACTTTTCTGCAAATTCATTTAGTATTTCCCCATTAATACTTTTTGCAACTTCATTTTCAGTTGACCTAATTGAAAGTGATGTCAGTTGCTCTTGGGAAATACAAGATAACCAACAATTTTTGGCAATTTTTAATTTTGAAAAGACTTTTCCTTGCAGATGCATCTGTTGCTGGAATTATTAAGAGAATTTACAGGCTGTGACAGTATTTGGATAAATTTCTGATAATCATTTCAAAATTCATAACACTTAGAGCTGGTAAGTCCCATAGAACAATTTTTCTAAAATAAGAGTCAGTTTCATGTGTGAACTTCGTTTTAAATGTAAATTTATTCAATATTCATTTTAATGTTTCCTGTGACATCCCATGTAACTTGTGGAGGTTATGCAAGAATCTATATATGGCTTTATGCTTAGTATCTATACCAAAACGCTCCCTATGCATTCTATTGGTATACATTCAATGACAAAGTAAAAATAAAATTCTTGGTTTAGTCAAAGCTTCACATGAAAAGTGTTTCTTTCTTTCTTTTTGTCAAATGCAATGCCATTTAAATTTCATTTTTATTTCTAAGCATGGATACATGGATATTTGATTTGTAATGCTGTAGCCGTTTTCAAAACTGATGATTTTTAAACTATGATGAATTCTTAGGAACTCCCTGATATGCTTTATTGCATCCTCCATGTGTTTGCTTTTATTTTGTGATAATTTACTTAAAAAATATTTTGCCTGAGTGCCAGCAGTTCCTGCCCTTAATGTGCAATGCCACATGGACAAGTTCTGGGAACCTGCCTCCCACGTTGGGTCCCAGAGCTGTCCTCATAAAAAGCATGAACATGATGGTTGGAGCTTCCCCTACTACTTCTGCTGACACTGCTGCTTCTGCTGCCATTACTGTCATCATTGCCACTAATTTGGACCCAGCCATTTCCAGTTTTTTGCTATTATAAAAGTGTTGCAAAGTATATCTATTTACCTTAAAATGCATTTTAAAGTCTCCTGGAACCTTGATAATTAAAATTAACTTTGAAAGCGAAGGTTGAGGTAATCAAAGCCCTGTACCTTTAAATATGGTACAGCTTACCTGGCCAACAAAATATGGTTACTATATTGAATTTGGACAAATTTCTCAATTTGCTGAAGTTTTCAATTTCTACTGTCTTGAAACATTCTAAATATTTAGAACAGGTATAGCATTTTACATAGTGAAACAACTAAAAGACACTTTAACAGGGTTCTGATAGACATTATCAGACAAACTTCGGCCCTTAGAATAAAATATTTAGGCATAAATTTAACCAAAGACATGAAAGGGCTGTACATTGAGAACTATTTTTAAAAAACAGTGATGAAAGAAATTATGAAAACATAAATAAAAAGAAAGAAATCTCATGTTCATGGATCACAAGAATTAATAGTTAAAGTATCCACACTACCCAAAGTAATCTACAGATTCAGTAGATTACTACTGAATTCAGGGATTCAGCAATCCCTGTCAAAATTCCAATGCACTTTTTCAAAGAAATAGAAGAAAAATCCTAAAATTCTTATGGAATCATAAAAGATCCTGACTAACCAAAGCAACCCTGAGCAAGAAGAAAAAAGCTGGAAGCATCATACTTCCTGATTTCAAATTACAGTACAAATCTATAGCAATCAAAATAATATGGTAGTGGCATGCACTTAGGCATAACTTTAAACATTTAAATATTAAAAACATTTTTAACATAGACCAATGGAACATAACAAAGAGCTCAGAGATGAACCTATGTATATACAGGCAACCAATATTCAAGAAGGACACCAAGATTTCAAAATGACAAAGGAGAATCTCATCAATCAATTGTGTTGGGGAAACTGGATATCCATGTGCCAGAGAACAAAACTATACCACTATCTATACTATTAATAAAAATTAACTCAAATGGATTAAATGTTTAAAAGAATTGGAAAAAAACACAGAGAACAGCAGCAACAAAAAAAACCGAATTAAATATTTAAGATCTGAAACTATAGAGCTCCTAGAAGAGAACATAGGGGAAGAGTTCCTTGATGTTGGTCTTGGCAATGAGTTTTTGGATAGGACACCAAAGCACAAGCAACAACAGAAAAAATAAACAAGTGGGATTACATCAGACTAAAAAGTTTCTGCACAGCAAAGGAAATAACCAATAAAATGAAATAGCAACTTGTGAAATGAGAAAAGATTTGCAAACCATATATCCAATAAGGCATTAATATCCAAAATATACCAGGAATTTATAAAACTGAATAGCAAAACAGAGAAAAGCAAAAGCAAAATGTGATTGAAAAACTAGACAGAGGATCTGAACAGATATTTTTTCAAGATGTAGACATGGCCAATGGATACAAGAACAGATGCTCAACATCACAAGTTATTTTGGAAATGAAAACCACAATGAGTTATAGACTCACATCTATTAGGATGGCTACTTAATACAATACAAAAACAAAAGATAAGTATTGAAGATTATATGAAAGGAAGGGGATTCTTGTACACTGTTGGAGCAATGTAAATCGGTGAAGATGTTATGGAAAACAGTATGGAGGTGTCTCAAAAAAATTAAAAATGAAAGTGCTTTATGATCCAGAAATATTACTTCTGGGTACACAGCCAAAAGAATTGGAATAAAGATTTTAAAGATTTATCAGCATTCCCATGTTCAATGCAGTGCTATTCACAGTAGCCAAGTTATAGCTTCAACTCAATGTCTTAACAGGTGAGTAATAAAGAAAATGTGGTATTTTTACATAATGGAACACTATTCAACCTCTAAAAAGAGGGGATTCTGGCATTTATAACATCATGCATAAAGCAGAGGTTATGTGAAGTCAAATACAAATACTATATCATCTCATGAGTGGAATCTAAAATGGTCACACTCATAGAATAGGATAGTGGTTGCCAGTACTTGTGACAGGGAGAAATTGAGAAGTGGTGGTTGAAGGGAATGGTTATGCAAGATAAATACATCCTGGAAATCAACTATTTATCATAGTGTCCATGGTTAACAATACTGCATAACTATACCCACAATAACAACAATAATAAAAAGGCCAGGAGGAAACCTTGGAAGATAATAAATGTACTCGTGTCATTAGTAATGATGATGGTTTCATGGGTCTATTCTTATGCCCAAACTCATTGACGTGTGCCCATGAAATATGTACAGCTTAGTGTGTGTGTGGTACTGGAGACTGAACCCAGGATGCTCTACCACTGAGCCACATCCCCAGTCCTTTTTGTTTATTTTCTGACAGGATCTTACTAAGTTCCCAGACTGGCCTCAAATTTACAATCCTCCTGTTTCCGTCTCCCAAGTTGCTGGGATTACAGGCATGTGCATCCATACCTGGCTATGTATAGCTTTTCAATAAAAAATTAGAGCTTTATAGTTATACATAGTTGTTGGGTTTATGTACAACTTTTTATATGTCAATCATACT